AGTGTCGTTAACTTTTAGTTATACCGCAAACAGGTTGTGTCCATAACTGCTGGAACTATTTGTTAACCTTGGGTAAAACAGATGAATCAACCTGTGTTCCGTTTTATCCTGAACTACGTTTGCTCTGATCTTTCATACCAGATGAAAGTACGTAGGCACAAGACGCGATGTCTTGGCGAGCAACCCTTCCCCCTTCGCTCGTAGTTAGCCGAACTACGTTGACTCTGACTTTCCCATTGCACGAGGGAGTACATAGGCCCGGAGCAGTGACGCTCTGTCGAGTCATTTTTCTCCTTAGTTTTCTTTTGAGCCAGGCTTGATAGGTAGATAGATAAACAACCGGTCAGATAAACACAACAAGCGTGGATCCCGTTGAGTACAACGGACGTGAGGGGTGTTAATACCTTCCCCTTGCGTAACCGACTCCCGAACCCGAGATTCGGTTGGGATGACCGATCTTATCCTTTTCTCTAGGTTTTTCCTGATCGTTTCCTTTCCCTCTTTTGGGATAAATAACGATACGTGGCGACTCTTCTGTCTTTGCCGACACCTTTTTTCGCAGTACCGACAGTTAAACCATTTTAGTTTGCCATATGAACTTTATTAAATTTCTACACCTTGGCTGATGCTTGATGTGAGGGAATTTTATAATTGGACCTGTCTAGTTTGTTTGTGCTGACATCTGTGGTTGTGTATAGGTCCAACATCTGGTAGCTTTTTATTTTCTCTCAAACACTAAGTGTTTTGTGTATGCCACTGTCATTTTTCTAGATTTGCCATGGTTTGCTTGTCAGCATCATTGGCCTTAAGATTCAGTGTTTTGTGTATCTGTTCGTGTTTCTGTTATGGTGATTAAGTTTTGGGTTTGAACCTTGTTGTCAATATGTGTATGCATAAGATCCCTTGAGAAGTACAATTTGGTTTGTTGTTGTCTTGAATCTTTGTTTTAGCATTGGTTAGACTAGCTTGTTTAGACAAACACCATTTCATTAACTTGCCACTTGACAGTCACTTTCTGATTTATGGCAAATTTGAGGCATTTCTTTGGATATAATCCATGAGCAACACATTTCAATCATGTGCATACCCTCACCTATTTTTAAACTCATCAGTTTTAAACATTGAACTCCAAAGTGCATTTCAAGGTTTTCAAGTGCATGAACATTCGAGATTTTGAGCGTTGTGCATTATTTGGAAATTTGAATGGCACCATTGCTTTCCTCATGAAAAAACAAGTGAGTTAGGCTAAAATTTCATGAGATTTGGTGGAGATTTGAAGAAGTTATGGTGAAACCGTTTTTAAGTTGTCACTTGATTGTGTGCCATGAGGTTTGCCCAGAAAAATGTGTGTGATTGGTTTATCATTTATTGGGGTGGCTTGATACAACAGATGTATCGCCACCCCAGTGGTTGCTTGCCTTGCCTTAAGAACCTTATCATGCCATTGGACCTGAGTTCGACCCCGAGCGGGGACGTTTTTTGCTTGTTTTTCATTATTTTCATGTTTTAAATATTTTTACCTTCTTTTCCATTTATTTTCATGTGCGTTTAGTGGTTGGGTTGGTGTTGTTTTAAGCCCATGACCCCAAGGTCTTGGGTTCAAGCCTTGGGTGAGGCATTTCTTAAATATCATAAAATCCCAAAAAATCATATTTTAGTGTGTTAATTTATTTTTCATCATTTTTATTTCATTTTCATTTTAGTTTATCATTTTATTTTGAATTTACAAATTAATGTATTTTGTGGGTTGTCACTTTTTTATTGCATGTTTTCCTTCCTCTATTCTTTGTGTGTGCATCTTTTCTTTGTATCTCATCTGTTTGCATTGCATGTTGACTTGTTCAAGTTAACTTCTTGCTTTCTTATTTCATCTGTGATTGAGTTATTTAGTGTTTACTTGGCCTTGTGCCATGATCCCCCTAGGATTCCTAGTCCCTCCGTTTAGGATGGGAGTAGAAGAGAATTAGGTGTTCAATCATATGCATGACAATATTAGGGTAGTTATTTCCCTTCATCCCAACTTTAGGAGCATTGTGCATGAAAACTTTAGGGTCCAGTTTCCCCTTAGTCTGTATCTTTCTCTTTTCATCTCCTAAACAATTCAAAACACCTAATAAAGAAAGATTTGTGTCGTACGCTATGAGCCTTAAGTACTTAAGAAATGATGGTTAGGGGGCCTCCTCTCAACTGTCTAGAGTGTTTAGCGTATGCCCTTTGGGCGATATGCGACACATTCGCTCTCGAGTCATAGTCTTTAGTGTGACATGAGCTTCAAACCATAACTCAATTCACGTCTTGTCTTAAAAAAAATACAAAAAACAAACTTCAAACCTTTTTATCCTTCAGGATTAATTTGGAAAACCTTTTTCATAAGGAGAGTGTTGTTAAGCTTTGGTTCTATCGCAAACAGGCATTGTCTCTAACTGCTAGAATGGAGGTTTAACCCTACTCGGGTAAAACATTTTGAACCAACCTGTGGTCGTGTCAGCCCAAATTACGTTTGCTCTTATTTCTCGTACCATACGAGGATACGTAGGAACAAAACGAAGATGTCTTGGTGAGCAACCTTCCCCACCTTCACCCGTAGTTTTCTGAACTACGTTGACTCTGACTTTCCCATTGTATGAGGGAATACGTAGGCATAGAGCCACGATGCTCTGTCGAGTCTCTTTTCTTTTCTTTTGTCCCAGTGGCCAGCCTTATAGTTTTACACCCTTTTAGATAGACAACAAGCGTGGATCCCGTCGAGTACGAAGGACGTGAGGGGTGCTAATACCTTCCCCTTGCGTAACCAACTCCCGAACCCAAGATTTGGTTGCGATGACCTATCTTTTCCTTTTTTCATAGGTTTTCTCCGATTGTTTTCTTTCCCTCTCTTTGGGATAAATAACGAATGATGGCGACTCTTCTGTCTTTGTCGGCCCCTCTTCGTAGCCATGCGACACTAACCTCTGGAGAATGCTAGAGTATTGGTTTCACTGGATTCACTTAGTGCTCTGACTTTAATACTTTTCCAACTATGCTAAGGACAAAGGTTAAATCCATATCAAATTGATATTGCCTTCTCATATTCCATTTTCATTCCAAATTCTGTATTTTACACATGAATAGGATTTCATATTGGTAAGGATTTAAATTTGTTTCCTAACACTGTCATAACTTATAACCTATTTTGTTTTCTTATTTCAATAGTGATTGAGGATTGTACTAAGCTCAAAACTTTTTTTAAAAGTTTGTTTCAAGTATTGTACAGAAGACTCCATAGATTCCACTATTAATGTATGTGCCTTTTTTTAGCTCTTGAGAATGTATCATTTTTATGCACTCGAACCTTTTGATGTCGGACGCATATTGAAAATTGATATTATTTCAGAAAACCAACATGTCACATTTGTAACCACTGGTCCAATAGATCCTGGTAGGGTTTCATTGAATCATCCACATTTGATTTAGATGAATATATATTTGTTTCTATCGAAACTACAGAGGTGTTGTCTTAAGAGTGTAAGAAACCGACACCTGTTTCGTTGCAAAATCAAGTTGAGCTTAAATTGTGTTTATGCTCTTTATGCAGTTGCTGGTTTGGGAACCTATATAGAGGCACTTGTGCGAAAACATGACACCAAATTCAATGTATGTTGTTACAATTCTTTTACTTTTCATTTTCACCCTTTTAGTACCATGTGAGCGAGCATCGATATTAAATATTGAGAAGTGATTATTTTGTGACAATAATATTGTAGTTGAATTTACTATTTTGCAGGTAATCGTAACTCAGACGAGTGGTTTACATCATCCAACCGAGTCTATCCATATACTTCATGTTGGAAAGATGAGGATCAACCATAAGTCAATGGTTTGTATATGTACCACATTTTCTGTTCTTGGAGTGAACTCTGATCCTACTCGAATTGATGAGGTTTATATACATGCAATCTTTCTTTTAATATTGATGTATTGGCTTCAGAATTTAGAAATTTCATTTGAATTAATAAATTCATATTTGATTTGTAATAGGTGGAAAAATTCAGTGGTGAGTTTCATGCTACCAGAAGCACGTGTCATCTTTGTCCTGCAACTGTTGAAAGCTTGGAATTTTGTTTCGAAACCTCGTCGTCGACTACGTTTCTCCATTTGTATCTCATAAGAAGCAATGATGATCCATATGAATACCTCACTTAGTTCCATATGAAAATGATTATTTTTGTTGGGATTACAACTATGATATTAAAGAATAATTTTCATCTAATGTACCATATATCAGGTGGAAGAACACATAAAACACTTGGTTACACAGATATGGACAACACAAACACATACTTGACACCTAACAAAGCAAGAGGACGTAGATCTTTGATAATAAAGAAATCTCGATCTAAACGTCAAAGACACTCTACTCAACAACAAGACATGGTTTTAGGTCGGCGACACATGCCATATTGTATATATTCAACAATCATGATCATGACAGCTATGCGCATGGCTGGAATTATGGTCAAGATTTTCATTTGGCTGTTGGAGAGTATATTTGGAGGTTTTCTATTATATATATTGAAGGGAAATAATCTTATTCATAAGGTATGATCTTGTTCTATATTCGCGTGCAAAATCATATTTTCATGATGTTTTGTTGTGATTCAAGAACATCTTCAACTTTTTTGCAGCATATTACAAATGCATAAATAAAAGAATCACCACTTTATGTTCCCTTACATTAATTTGAAGGTTTGTTATTTCCAACTAGGTTCTTTCAATGATTATGACTCAATTTCGTTTCGTGTTAATGTTTTTATGATTTTGAGTTTAATCTAGCAGACCACAAAGAACAAGAAGTCGAATGCTTGGATTCTGCTTTGACTTCACCAGAAAAAGTTCATTTTGCAATAGATTGTTTACCTATAACTTTAGTAAAGCCAGTTAATGGAACAAATCCTTTGTTTAATCGATGGACCATAATGGACTATTTCCGAGCCTACACCTCAGAAAATATAACACCAAACATGGTTGCCGAAAGATTTATAGCTTCTGTTAATGAATCTTCGAAACCTCAACTTCAAATGGGATTCTTCATCAATTACGACGTTGAAGATATACTAAAACAAGAAAATGAATCAACTCTTCGGTATCATAAAGGTACTTTATCGAAGCGATAAATCAAAAGGATAGGACTTGTCTTCCAACTCTCTTCTGAGTTTTGATACTAATTTGGTGCATGTTGTTTTTTGTAGGGGAATCTATCTCTATGCTCGATGGAGTTCTTGTTTCTATCAAGGATGAAATAGACTGTTTACCATATTCTACTACAGGTAGGGTAAATTTTGAAATGTGTTAGCTTGTAAATTCTATTCGCTCGACTTGAGGATGTTTAAATGGTGTTCGTCGTGTAGGAGGTACAAAATGGCTGCATAAACGAAGGCCTTGTACGGATGACGCTTTTTGTGTCAAGCGTTTAAGATTATGCGGCGCCATACTTGTTGGAAAGACTAATATGCATGAACTTGGCGCGGGAACTACCGGTAAAAATCCATATTATGGGTAAGAAACCATAGTTATATACTCATTTTTGTTACATTTTTGATGCCTTGTCTACTAAGCTATATATTAATGAATTTGTATTGACAAGAGCTTGGCTGATTATATACACTCCATAGGGCTTCTAGAAATCCATAAGATGTCAATAGGATTGCAAGAGGTTCTTCTAGGGGATCTTCTTCGGTGGTGTCCGCAGGGTAGTGTCCTATTGCTCTCGGTGTCGATGGGGGAGGTTCTGTAAGGATGCCTGCAACACTTTGTGGTGTAGTTGGTTTAAAACCGACTTTTGGCCGTATACCTCATGACGGGTGAGTATTCGATTGAAATATACTCGGTGACGATTATCATATTGTCATGTTGTAATGATTTAGAATGACGATATTTTGTTACATTCAGAGTTCTTCCTTTAAACTGGACAGTTGGAATGGTTGGAATACTAGCAGGCACGGTGGAGGATTCATTGATCGCGTTAGTACTCATCCTTACCATGATTTTTTTTCTTCAAGTAAGTTTTAACACTGGTTTCACAACTTCTATTATTTCAATATTTATAGTTATGCAGCAATCAGCGGCGAAATTCTGTCTCATGAACCCTCTAGTTCTCCTGTAATAACTTTTTCTTTTCAAATTCCAAGAGATTTTGATCGTTTATCGATTTCATAAAATACCAATTTTCTTGTGAATTTGTAAACTAATGAAAGTACTTTAAGCAATACTTAGGCCAAAATAAATCTTCCACTGCTGCCTTTTACAAAGTCCTTATCAGACATCAAGTTGGCAAAGTATGGCAAGGTCAGAAATATCTTTTCATGCTTAGAATATACTTTTTCATTTTTATTCGAATATTGGAGAAAGTAAGTTTTTCTAACATTTGTTGTTGCACCCCAAATTTTGCCCTAGGAGTTGTTGTCTCATCTCGCATTTCATTACATTTTTACATTGCATTTTTACTAACCGCTGACAGGTTTGTGTAGTTGTTTGGTTTTTGCAGGAAAATTGGCCTGGGCGCACTCTTTAATTCATGAAGGGTAAAAGGGTCATTTGGTTGTAGTTGGCGGTCAATTTATGAATTTTGAGTCGTAGTCGAGACATCAGAGCCGTTGGATATTATTGATGTGAGTCGGGGCCGAGGTTAATTGGATAAGTTTTGTTCATTTGAATTGTCGGAAGATGTAATTGAAAGTTCTGTTGAAGACGGGATTAATCGGACAAATTGGAGGAATTAGGAATTAATAAAAAAATAGAATTTCATTGTCATTTCTCATTTCATTTTAATCATATGGCATTTATCTTATTTGCATTTCATGTTAAACAACTTTTATTGCATTTCATTTTTTTTTATCATTTATTACATTTTTAAATATTTTTCTATGTTTAATATTTTCGTTTCATTTTAATTTTAGTTTTTCATTTTTGGTTTCATATCAAAAACAAATAGATAAATAAATAAAATTAAAGAAGTTTTATTTAATAATAATTGTTCTTTACAAAATAATTATAAAATTACATTTTTGCATAAAATAATAAAATTCCTAAGTCTTCCAATTTACTTCAACTTTTCCCGACTCTTCTGATTAATGTTTTGAACCTGCAAGATGGTCAAAGAAAACACAATTTTATCGGTTAGTGTTATCCGACATCCTCAAAATAATATCATCATTGGATGTGTCGGGAAGGCAACGGATTACTACGAAGCCGGCTCCCGACTTTGTTTCACAACCATCGGCCAAAATCAAGTAATTCATGTTCTTATTTTACGAGGCTACCAGAGAGAGAGAGAGATAAAAGTGCTTATGAAAAATCTGGTTTAGAAAAGTGCTTATTCAAAAAAAGTGCTTTTGGAAAGAGCACTTATTCAAGATAGTTTTTGCCAAAACAAGTCATAAATTTTTTTCGGAAAAATTCCAACAGATCCAATCACACATCAGTAAGCCAATGGATCCAATCAACAAGGTTCAACGAACTCAGCAACAAACTAGCCGAGAAAGTTGCCAGAAATCACACAAAAAGAATCTAACGGATTCAATAGCAAAAAGGTAACGTCAAACTTTGAAAAGACCTGCAAGATCAAACAAAATCGCAGAATAAACAGTAATAGCAAGATCATAATCCGGCCCACCAAAGCATCAATGATATAAGAACATAAGTTCTTCAGAAAAAGGGGACCCAAAAAAAGGGAAACGGCGCCGGAACGGAGGCTCAGAGGGAGAGGTAGCTCTCACCGTCATCATCACCTCAGATCAGAAGAAGAGGAAAAGAAGATTCAACAGACGGCGGCCGAAAACCAAATACGTTCAACACCACCGTCATCCATCGACGGACAGAGATTGTCGCAAGCCGCCAACGCCGTCCTAAGATCAACAACAATCGCGAACGGACAACCACCGTGAACTCAGAAGCACGACGGTCTTCATCATCAATAATGAAAACTTAAAACATCTTAAGCTAAAGAATTATGGCATTGAAAATAAACAAAAAAATATTTTTTGACGTTAAAATTAATACCTTTTTTTCCTTTTATTAAAACATTAAAATAAAAAACCTTAAATTAAAAACTTCTTTTCATAATTAAAACATTAAACTTTTTTTAAAATTTAAGAGCACTTTAAATGAAAAACTTTATTATAATTGAAAACATTTCTTTTACATAAACTTAAAATATTTTTAATTAATTACAACAAAAATATTAAAATAGATTTTCTTCAAAAAAAAAATTTTAAAATTAAAACAGATTTTCTTCAAAAAAAAAATTTTTAAGTTAAAACATTTATCTTTTAGAACGTTCTTTAAATTAAATTAAAATAAATCCTCCTTTTACATGTAAAGATTAATCCTTCCTTTTAAAAGATTTTCAAAAAAAATAAAACTTTTCCTTTAGCCGCTTTGTTGTCGGTCTAACCCTCATTATCTTGTTTGTTTCGACTTATTATTATTTCATTTGTTCATATTGTCAAATTTCAGTTGTAATTACTCGAGGCTATCGTCGCAGTTTATTATTCTTGCATTTTGGGATTTTGTAATTTACGCGAGTGATCGTCGCGATGCTTTTTGTTTTACCGCTTTCTTTATCTTCCGTACTTTAATTCTGCCGTATGATAATATTTGTCGTTTGCATGTTTTTACCGTTAGCGTCCTTCCGAAGGATTAGGTCCAGTAGTTTGACTGCCGAGTCAATAACCCTAACCCTCAACCATTTCAAAACCCTAATTTGGCTAAGTGTCCCGGCGTGGACAAAAATGCCCTTTACCCTAGCGTTAGGCCAAAGAGTTGTCGTACTCTGTTTTAGGATTTGCCTCCGTGGAATATTTAATCAACCCTAATTTCAGTTAACTATTTCAACATAGAAATATGAGTTTCAGGACTCCACGTAAGTGCTTCCCTATGAACGTTTACTCCCCCTGAAACCTTGACCACAGTCAAGAAGTTTCTAACCTCCCTTTCAAGGGGAACTACGATTACTCGGATTCCATTCCCTATCTAGGATACGTAGGCACAAGATGCGAATCTTGCCGAGTAAACTTAGGACTAACCCTTAGGTCTTTCTATGTCACTCTCTAACCCTTAGCTCAGTATATATCTTCAAGCAAATAATTAAAGAAAATATAAACGATAAACAAAATGTTCCTATAGAGTACTACAGAAGTTTAGGGTGCTAGTACCTTCCCTAAGCTTAACCAACCCCTTACCTAGGTCTCTCCCCGCATTGTCTTTACGATGAAAAATTAGGTTTTTCCTCTCTTTTGACCTTTTCCTTCGGATAAATCAAAGAGCGGTTGTGAACTAAAGATGTGATTCAAATTAATTAATAATTTGATATCATATTCTAACCGCAACAGAAAATGGTGACTTCATTGGGGACTTGCCTAACTTTTAAGGGTTACCCCTATCTTGTTTATTTGCTATGCTATTTGTTTTATTATTCTTTGTTTTCTTGTATATATACCTATTGTACCTTACTTGGGGTATCTGCTGTTGTGAGATAAGTCCTACACCCGAACTTGAGCGAACTTTTTATAGGAGGTGATATAATCAACAAGGCTTATAGGGAGTTGAATCCCGACCAAGCTGACTTGAGAATCACCGCTCAGTTGAGACCCTTTAAAAAATGGTTTGGTTGAACGAGTAATCATGAAAACTTTTACTATTGTCGATTGGAGTCTGTGATACTGGGGACCGTAGTACCTTAACATCACCTTGGCCTTATATAAGACGTAGTGCGAGGACTATGAGAGAGTAATCCCAAAATAGTTGCTACATGATACTACACTCAAAAGAGGTTCTCTTGAGAATATTATTAACCACCGAGTAAGTCGGGAAATTGATAATATCCGAAAGATGGACTGATGACTTTGGGCACTTCTTTAGAACCCTTGTTCTGCAGGTACAACTAACCTATAGTACATGCCTTTTGGAAAGGGTAGATCTTGACTCCGTTCATTATACCTTTAACATAGGACCTTTTGTTATTTATGTGTATTTGTGCATGGCATTCATAAAACATCATTCCTAGTTTCAAGGAATTCAATTATCCTTTTCAAATTCAAAAGTCTCACATTTTAAAGTCTAAGACATTTTCCAGCTTTCTTAGAAAACATTTGCAACCGACCGTTGAAGTTCTTGAAACTCTTGCATTGCATTAGCATCATGTCTTGCATGGCATTTTTCCCCGATTTCTCATTCCCAGTTGTCTTTATTCTTCCAGTGTTCCTTTGAGTCCTCAAGCTGATTCCTCGACACAGATATCAGACTAGAGCTAACTATAGACGTAGATGTCAGAACAAGAGACACATAACGCGGAAATCCGAATGTCTGAGCTCCCTTTGAGAATTCTCTCTATGACTACAATGCTGCCAGTGCATCAAAAGTGAAGTTTCAGTCTTGACTCCAGTAGATTATCTTCCCAAATGCCAGTGTTTCAAACAGAACGGCTCATCTTTATACTGATTTAGTCATTAGGCCTTTTGTTTCTCGTTGTTTATACTTTCCTTATATTTACATTAGTTGTTTGCCTTCGAATTATATTTGTACTTTTACATTAATGAACTGAGCATTACAACTTTCGATTTCAATTCATTTTGTCTATTACTTGCATCTTTATGCTTTATCTTTCAAATATTTACTTCTTGTCCAAATTTTTG